ATGAGGGACAGTACCGGAGTTTAAAATGTTATTGTAAATTTTAAGTAAAAATGATTTAGCTTCTTTGGGAAGATTATAAATCATGGAGTAAGAAATTCCATCCTCGCCTGGTGCAGAATCCTTTTTTTTAAGGCAATTTTGAAATTCCTGAAAACTAAAATTTCGTTCCAATTTGGCGTTTCGTGAAATAAACTTAGGCATTAAATTTTGTGCATAATCAGGAGTAAGCGAGTATAATAATTGTTTCTGCTTATCGACGGGAGGATAGCTTTTTGTCCCTCTGAAACCCTTAATCCATCTCATACGGCGCCACATCTCAGAAGTTGAAGTTTCCTGATCAATAGAATCGCAAAACTTTTGCCAATTTAAAAATTTAGCTTTATTTATTAATTTGTGAGCTTCTCGTGTTTTTTCATTAAATATGAATAAATTTTCTGGAGTAGGGTTGCGACGAAACTTAGATAGCGCCAACCTGCGTTGAGCTACTATATTTGATAATTCTGGGTTCCAGTAGGGTTTTGGCTTAAATTTAGTAGTGGGTTTATTGCAATACTTAATAAAAGGAATAAATTTATCAGCCGCGGCATTAATTTGTTTTAAAAAAGCATTATACATCTCTTGTGAGTCGTTATTATAGCCAAAATTAAATTTATTCATCAATGACTTTCGATATTCAACCCAATTAGCTCTATCATAATTTCTTTTTTGCGTTGTAGAGTAACCATTTGTAATAATGGTTGACATTTTAATGACCATATGGTCACTGCCTAGGTTCTCATTGAACACTTGCCAATCGAAATAAATCGCAATATTAGATGAGACAAAAGTTATATCCGGTGAGGTCTGTTGTAGATTACCATTGACTAACTTGATTCGTGTGGCTAGCCCATTATTAAGATATATATAAGAATTTTCTAGGGCTGAATCCATTATATGAGTACCCCTTGTATCGGTTTTAACCGACCAATTAGTGTGGTGACCATTAAAATCCCCAGCAATAATAGTAGACTTAGAATACGTTGAAAAAATACTATCCCAATCAGACTGTTGAGTATGTACCGAAGAGGGGCAATAAATACCTATTAACTGTTCTATATTCATGCAATTCACTAATTTAACGCAAATTATTTCTATTCCGGAGTTATTACAAGTTACGGGCACTAAATACGATTGTATGGACCTATGCACCATTATTGAAACCCCACCATACGAATCACTTCTATCACACCTATATATATTATATCCTCTAACAGTCAGGTGGGTCTCACTGTTCAACCATGTCTCACTTAAAATAGCTATATGTATGTTTTCCTGATTTAATAGTTCAGCAAATGATATTAATTTAGGCCGTATACTTTGAGCGTTCCACTGCAAAATATTAATCTTTATATTAGCCATTTATAAAACTAATAAATTTATCTACATACTCTCTCATAGAAAACACATTTACTAAGAATTTACTAACCTCGTCCCAAATTATTTTAAAACATGATATAATTTTATCTTGCATTTTATCTTCCGATATTAAAATATAATTTAATTTTAAAACTAATTTCTTAAATTCGAACTTATACCTTAATTCCTCATTCCTTATATTATTACCCTTTCTATGGTCTTCACTTTGAGATTTATTACATCTTTCCTCCTCTATCTGCTCCGAGAAGACCTGGTTGACTTCACTTCTCTTTTTCTTCTTGACCCGAGTTCTATCTTGCAATATATGTGTCGGTTCATTAGATGTCTCGTTTTCAATTTCCATCGAATCTGATTGAAGTGAAATTGGTTCCATATATACCCCCGTGCCAGCAGCTACACTACTATATGTTTCATTATTTCTTATTAACTGTGTGCTCGATTGTTGATCTTTTATGATTCTAGACCCTCATTTATCGCCCTTCGTTGCTCGATAACAATTTGAAGCGCTTTTCGATACGGTACTTGTTTTTCACTCATAACTACTCTTATCTGTCTTTCTTTCAAATAAAAAGGACATTTCTTATCTAATACCAGGTGTGCTCCCTTACAATTCAGACATCTCAAATTTTTTTCCTCGCAATTTTCGTGATTATCTCCGCATTTAGGGCATAATTTCTTTTTAGTGGGACAAAACCTAAAAATATGTCCAAACTGCCAGCAGCCTGAGCACTGAGTCACTGGGAAAGTATAAGTTTCAACTCTAAAACGGCAGTCATATGCATATACATAAGGTGGTAATGTATTGTTTTTAAAACAGATCCGAATAGATTCACTGTCCACCCATTTGCCCTCCGCGTTTAAGCGTTTCAATCGTTTAATAGAAATAATTTCTATTTCACATTTTATTATTTCTTTTAAGTCTTTATCACACAAATCAATGTCAACACCTTTTACAATGCCGTATGAGAATGACATTTCATTTATTTTTTGACATCGTAAACCCATCTCTGTAAGTTTTTGGCATTCTAATAATTTATTGGCATCTTCTTGACCTTGAAATTGTATCAATACCTTATTAAAACTTTTATACTTAATTCTAGTGATACCACTAATGTTCTCCGATCTGAGCAACCTAGCCAGAGCCATTTGTTTAGGTAAGCTTTCCATGGATGTGACACATACCTCATGCATAGTATTCTGTTCTGATTGTTTATCATTTTTATTTTCATCTACCCTCTCAATATTCATCATTTCCGTAGATTTACTTCGAACCAACCGTTTTGGTCTCCTTCTCACAACAGTAATAAAGTCATCTTCTACGCTGCAATCATCTTCCCTATCCTTCCTTTTTTCTGCACTTCCTTTCTCTAATTCATTCTTTTTTTCCGTTATCGTCTTATTAATTAGTGACTGCTCAAGTTCTTGCTGGCACTTATTTAGAAATTCTGAGTCACTAGAATCTTCACCTTCACTGCTCATTTCTTCCATTATACACACCAATCGTTATCACTAATTAGTTAGTACTTAGTTACTCTGTGCAAGCAAAACAACGCGCGCGTTCTGTGTGACTACACGAGTGGTACTGACTTGAACTATGAAAATATAACAAAATGTACAGGATCTTTGTTGCGTATTATTTCAGCAGGGTGGAAGTCCAAAAAAACCTAGATTGTAAACCTTCCTTTCTAAAAAATAAGCAAAGTGGTTCTATAAAACGGCCGGGCGGCCGCGGTATTAATCCATTTTTTTTAATACTAACTTTTGCCTGCGGTGCGGAAATGTCGAATTTGTTATTCAATTTTTTTTGGGTTAAATAGTAGTCTTGTCCTATTTCCGACTATAATCTATCTTTGTACCAAATTTCATCCAATGCCATGCAGAGGTTTGTATCAGACATTTATTTAAAGCTTAATGCACATTTTGTACAAAGGTGGACTTAATGCAATGAGGCATTCTCTTCCAGTCTACCATCTATCAGTCCATCAAAATTTTCTTATAAAAGTGACATTACTCTTAAACTGTTTCGAATAGCAATTACTTTTTTATTGACCAGTAGATAAAAAAAGCTGAAAATTTTAACTAATATCCCTCGCAACGAAGTGTCTAAAATAGACTTTCAACGAATAGTATATTCGGCAGTATACCGAAAACCGAATATTCGGCGAGGCCCCTGACCGAATAGCCGAATATTAGGCAAAAGTATTCGGCTGGATTTTAGCGCCAAAAACTTGTACAGACGTGAATTAAATTATGTACCTGTTTTATGTACCAATGACTACTTAATAAATGATTATAAAAGAAATGAGAACCTTACCCTTCTAAATTTTGATTACCACAATAATTCAAATACTTAGAATCCTCCATTTTTCCAATTCAGAAGATGATTATGTACCTGTGTTATGCACCAATGACTACTTAAATGATTATAACAGAAATAAAAATATGAATATATACGTAATCAATAGTTTTTAATTTTTCATTTTACCAATTATTTCTCAATGACAAAATATATTATTTAAGTATTCGGTATTCGGCCGAATAATATGTAGATATTCGGTATTCGGCCGAATATAATAAAAGCAGCCGAATAGGCCGAATACCGAATAGTAACCGAATATTCGTTGCAAGTCTAGTCTAAAATGACCCAAAAGAAAAACAAGAACGAATTCAATAAATAACTTTATTAAGCTTAACTATATTTATTAATGTACATCAGTCGGGCTAAAATTATGAAAATCTACATAACAGTATAGTAATTGTACTAATATATAAATATCTGTAATACAAAATTACCCTCTAAAATTAAGGAATAACAATCAACTTATTGATTTTAATAGATTATAAATCACTACATGTTTATAAAGCTGCTTAATAACATGAGTATATGGCAGCATAATCCCTGTTGACCAAAATACAAGAAGTTCGAGAAATTATCTAATGTAAAAACTAGCCAATAGCTTTGAGTATTGTTGCTAAACTTTTAAAATTATCGTTTTCATAATGTTGCCAGAGAAATGCCTTTTTCGTAATAATAATTAAACACACTTTTTTAATCACAGCTAATTTTTTTTAAAATTTTTTAATCATTTTTGGACAGGTAATTTTTATCAGTTTCTAGCTTCTGGACTAATCATTTCTTGCCAACTAAATTCAATATGTTAACTAGAAAAACAAATAATATTGATGAATTTAAGCAATTTTGAATTTGAGCGGGCCTGTGTAATATAAGAAATAAAAACACAAAATAAAACTTGTACTGAGTAACATTTTATTTTTTAGTAATAAGGTGGAAAAATTGGGATAAAAAGAATGTATGCTTAATAAAATCGTAATTGAAGCTCAATAAAATTAAATAAAATCATATTTGCTAATCATCTCATTAACTTATACAATATTTTCTTAAATTCACTACTTTATATTCTTCTTGTCATATATTTACGACGGCTTGAAGTTGCCAGTAGAAAAAAAGATAAATAAAATGAGGGTAAAATAAAAAGAGGTTGAAACAAGTAAGTCAATAAGTTAATGACTTCAAATCAATATCAAATAGATTTGAATGAATGCTATAAGATAAACACATACAGCTATATAAATATATTTTCACTGGTTCTAAAACCTGGTGAGATTGAGTTAGACAGGGAGGAAGCTAACAGTTGATTGGGGCTCGCACTCACTAAGAAGTCATCATCCTCGGCTTCTAGTTTTCTCTTCATAGATGTGTATTGAGTTTCGTCATCACCATCTTTTAGCCAATCTTTATAGTCTATGCAAAGTGGCCAGATTATTTTACCGGATCTGTAAAAAAAGAAAATATTCTGTATTTAAAATCATAATTATGTAGACAAAACAGATGGTGTTCCTCCCAAAACGGTTGGACTTGTAAAAACAGGTTGGAAAACCTCAACCTCAAATTATTTAACTATTCCTCGAGGAGAGTACTTGAATGAAAAGTACTTAGTCTTATTCTGTTCTCTTGACAATATAATTGTATTGTATGAAAAAACTTATGATTTTTATTTATTTTTTAGGTGTGAAGTAAATGTTGCATTATATTGCTTTTAAATCTCTTCACAAATCATTCAATACAAAAATCATAAATATAATTAGCATCTTATTTCAGAGGATTTACAAAATGCACATTGGACAATAAAATTATTATCTGGGCCCCGCGATGTTATCTTTATAGGATTAGTCTATTTTTTGTTTGTCTTTGATTGGTCTATTATTCCATACAAACATCGATCTCCAACTTCAAGTTTTATTGCCATGAGAAAAAAAGCCTATTCGCCCGATCTTTCGAGATGCTCAATTGATCTAAATTGGTTCAGTTGTGTGAAAACTTAACAAACAGACAGGGACATGTACCACAGTTTAATGGTTCCCGTTCAATTAAACAATCTTACCTGGGCAAGTTATAAGGGTCGTAAGGAAACCACTCATCATACTGCATCACACTAGCTGCTTGTAGAGTGTGTCTTGCATTCTTCTCTATGATGGCCTGGCAGTATACCACCTGGTGCTGGCGGGTCACTGAGGAAAACGCGCGAGTCACTTGCGGAGGGCAGGTCCTCAGGGGATTTAGAGGGCAGGTCACCAGCCGCGGGAGGTTTAGGGATTCTACGAAGTTTACATCTGTAATTGAAATTATACATTAAAAATAATACAGTGGGGGAGCTACGCTACGCTATGTATCGGCTGGCTCGACCAAGGTAATACCACAGCAACACAGTAAACTGATACTAAGCCATTGTTTAGTTGCTTTTTACCGAGTGAGGTTACAGAAGACTCAACCACGCCCCTGAGAGGGGAGGGCTGTTGGCAGTTAAGCACAAGAACACTATACTATGAAAAAAAAAGAAACCATTTTAAACGCTGAAATACATATACATATTTGACGACCTCTGTGCCGCTGACGCCTTCTCCGTTCGCCAAGTTTTCTTTACAATGCGCACAAAGATATCTCTTTACGTAATAATAAATTGATTTTTTATGTGAAATACTCACTCTCTTTACTGGCAAACAGCAAATGATGCTTAAACGCCACCAGATAAAAGATCGCGTGACATATAGCGTGGAAAGCTCCGTGCGCTTTCAAATTGTCGCTGGCTGTGGTCGACTCCTGTGTCGCAGTTATGTACGAGTGACACCATTCAGCCATACTCCTCAAATAGTGTATTAATCTGGAGTTTGGTACTCTCACAGATCTTGCTAGGAGACCTAAAATATAAAAACTTATTAAATTATTTATTTTAAGACACAATAGGAATAATTAGTAATATGTTGCAGTTGACAAATATTGAAATAATAGGGTTGACTCAGGATATTATAAGAATCACACAAGTTTTTGTTTCCTTTTGGAAATCAAAAGGGACCAATTTAACCATTACCACCCTATTTGCAATCAGAAATAGAGATTGTTGTGAATTGATGTTTTTTTTAATAAAAGCTTGTTAGCAAGCCTTTAAGATTAGAATTTGATTACAAAAGTATATTTAGTTTCTTATACAATTATGTAGTTTTTTTCATGTGCAAGATACCTATGCCTAAAAAGCAGTTTAAATATTTTTTTGTCTGTCTGTTCGAGTGCTCTTCAAAACGGCTAGACCGATTTTGATAAAGTTTTACAACCAGGTAGCGGTGTATATAAGGAGTACCTTAGGCCATTTTTCCTCAGAAAAAGCCTATAAAATTTTGCCCGGTCCGGGAATCGAACCCGAGACCTCATGGACTGCAGTCGCGTACTGTACTACACCACTTAGGCGCGCACAATAATATGAAAAAAACTAGTTGGCTAAAAAATTATAGAAACATTTTTTGGCAAACAGGATCATTAAACTAGTATCAAGTGCATTGACTATTTTATTTATCACTTTTACACTAACCAGACAAATGACTCGCAGATGTGCGTCGCGTGGTGAGAGCACCGGGACTGACGCCTTGTAGCCCTGCTGCCACCATCCACAGGTTGTTGAGGATACGGTCTGCACATTGCTGGTTTATTGATATGGTATAAAGCAGCAGAAATTGAACATGTCTGTAAAATTCAGAAAGAAAATACTTTAGATACCATTAGCAGAATTAATTACTTTGTATGAACCTAATGTCTTCTGCCATTCATAAACCAAGGTCCCTCTAAGTTAATCCGTTTTCCATCGGTCGAGGTCGGCAAACTTTGGACCTTGAAGAAAGATCTATTTTGATTTCTGAGATTCTACTGTTATTTTATTAATAAGTAACGCTAATCAGTTAGAAAATGTGTTTCATCATTGTGTGAACCATCAGTGAAGTTGTAATAGTTCGTAAGTCAAAAAAGTCTACATAACTGTGAGAGTGAAATTACTCCTTTACTTGGTGCTTCAAAGCGGTGGATATTTTAATATATTTAAAAAAAGTGAAGTTATTTCCATCTCAAGTGTAAAAAGTTTTAACGACGATCATTTTGCAGGTTACGGATCTATAAGCTTTGTAATATTAGATAGAAAACAGCAGAACTATTTGTTAGTTATAACATTATTGAAGAGTCCAAAGCATCAAAAACTCAATTGTTTGAAATTCACTGTCAATAGTATTATCATCATAAAGCCTAAACAAAAGGATTTAATACTTTAGTTTGAAATCTCCTAAAAGTACTGCCTCATTAGTATGATTCTGCTATTGTGAATGAGGTCACCCAAGTTACTTCAAGAGGATCAAGTCATAGACAAGTATGCATGTTTGTAGATAAGTATACTCATTTCCGGCTATAGTAATAAAAAAACAAAATCTTACCTAATACCATATGTAGGTAGTATGAGCCTCTCAAACACGTTACATAGTATATTTAAAATTGGAGCTCTCTCATCCTCCAACCACTTCAACACTTCCAGCATGCAATAGTCCAAGGTTTCCGAGATCTCGTCAAGTGTATCCGTCTCCATCTCAAACATCATGTCTGATTGGATCTTGTTTTTCTCATTCTCTACTACATTTACATCCATTTCTATCATCCTGCAAATAATTGGTTTATAAATTGACATATCTTTCATATATGGCCCTAATCTTATGCCAGCACCTCAATTCGTTGTGCAACTTGTTATGCAACTTATCGACAAAGTGTAGCAGGCTGATTCGTCTATATTTGGTTTATTCGCACGCATAAGTGCGAATAACATATACGCGTATCTGTCCACTTGTCGGTTTTTTGACACAAAAGTAATGGAAATTGAACTACCTGTGCCTTAACAGTCTGACCACTAGACTATCCGGTCATGATAAACCACAATAACTAAAAGATATTTTTTTTTGCTGGAAAACGTTTTATGTTGTCCGTGTGGTGACAGATTAAGAACACGGAGTGTCGCCTCCCCTATTCATCCCGTGGGTGTCGTAAGAGGCGACTAAGGGAGCAAACTACGCAGGACAACAGCACTGCAAAGAGAAGGAAACTTGACACAAATCCTATACCAAGCCGTCTAGCCAGCTTGGCATAGTAGGCCAAAACCTCCTTTCTAAGGAGAGGCCTATGTCCAGCAGTGGACTATTAAAGGCTGTTGATGTGATGATGATGTCCGTTATCCATAGGCTGTATTGTTACCAACAGATAATGATATGCTTTAGATCTATTTGGTAGATTAGATTGTGGAAACGACTTTTAAGCATTGCAAGCAGATCTGTGGCAATAAAAAAATATGGTGCTATTACCTTACTGCTGATCAAAATACTCATTATACTAAATACATACATAGTAGTAGGGATAGATAATATTATGAAAGCTAAATTTAAGGAGGGATGTTTACGGTCAATTTGACACAACGACGTAACGGATGTGGATAAAATTTGGCACAGAGATAGGTTGCACATGATCCTGGAAAAATCGGTTGACAAAATTAGCTCTAGTATAGAGTTGAATTACTGCTAGATAAAGAAAAAACGATCATGCCTCACACGATTATTTATCCTTTAAAGGAATTGAACCCATGTTCTGTGGCTGGTTGTTTAAGCGTTCACCTCGCCGCTTCAACAGCGCTGAGTTTTGTGGGTTCGATCCCCACATGGGACAACACTTTGTGGTATTCACAAATTGTTGTTCTGAGTCTGGGTGTTCTTTCTGTCTGTTGCATGAATGTTTGTAAAGTCCACCGCGACACAGGATATACTCCTAGTGCGTGAGTCGTCTTCTAAAACAAGTATTACGCTTACCTATTAATGATTGCACTCATAATCTGTTCTCTAAGTGCTGGAAGGTATTTGCTCATCCATATTGCGTTGTATACATAGGCTCTGTTGACGTAGCATCCTACTTTGTAGTATGGAAATTGTTCCATCAATGTGTGCATTAGAAGGTCACTGGTCCTGCAAAAAATTGTATTATGTTGAGTCGTCAGCGTTAGTTTCGCAGTAGTGTCCCGAAAACGGTCTTTGTTTTCGATAGTTTTTGTTCTGTTTTTGTGCTGTCGTTGTTTCTTGCGAATAAAAGCGAAGTTTTTTATGCCTGGGACAGACATGATTCAGCACATATGGGCCGGACTCGACCGGAACGATACGGCCTCACAAAAAAGTGGTAAGTAATTATTCGGACGGTTACTGTAGGCTCAACCAACCTTCCCTCCTCATTCTGTGATGGAGATTCGAAGGCCGACAAAGCACTTTTCAGACTTTAGTTCCAGGTGCCCGTGTTCAGGGGTGGTCACCTCCTAATAGGTGACCCGTCTGTTCGTTTCCCCTCTGCTCCAACATAAAAGATTGCTATTTAGCACAGAGGAAGCTGTGTACAGTAATCCATGCTATGTATGATATTTCCCAAATAAATTATTGAACACTACACAGCTAACTATATTTATTATAGTGTGTCATACAATATAATAATCTTAGTTGCCAGATAGCTGTGTGCCTGTTCTTGGAATCTTCCTTTCTTGGTGTATGACTGGTCCTCTTGCAATAGACTTTTAAATGCAAAATGGTTTAGTCGTAAGTCAGAATCGAACCAACTCAAATCAGTTTAAGTCAGTACAATTTTGACATTAAGCTTTACCATTAGTCCCCGTGAGCGTTGCTTTTCCAAAAAAAAAAGAAGCAGGCAGTATGCCTATACCATAAGCCCACTTCATTGCATTACATTACATTACCTCAGCCTATGCTTGTCCACTGCTGGACATAGGCCTCTCCCAATGATTTCCAGTGGGGACGGTTGATTGCGGCCTGCATAGTTATATTAAAATAAAACTCTTGTAAAAATCCAAATATATTCATGTACAGCATCTTACCTATTTATAATGATCTAGTACAGATAACGTCATCATTACTAGTTTTCCATGAATGTGATTTGGAATTTCCAAGTCAATCATTCAAGGTAAACTTGACTTTATTCCCCATAAGAAGGGTTCAATATCCAGGTGAAGTCAATGACAGTAGCAATTTCCTGTTCATATTTATGCATACATAGTACAAGCAAACGATGGCAAACTTGCTGTAGTATCAGTATCTCAAGCAAAGTTTGCTTGCTATTATTAAAATTACGTCATATAGGTACGCCTTAATTGTAGCGGTAACTCCCGTCATGTGGTATGGCTAGTCTGGGTACCAGTGCCTTGTTTCCAGTATACTGGGTTGCACACAATACTCATAGCTCAGAGGATAATGCTTGTCTGATACTTCAAGTAACTGTATTGTACAGCAACATGCTGAACTTATGAATCATGCAGTTAGCATGTTGCTGGGCACCGACGACCATGAAGATAGTCGTGAAGGATTCATGACGAGATGATGATTTTTCAAGGCCAAGACGCACTAAACAGGGAAACGGTAAAGAAATGGTACTCTCTCATCTCGCAGAAGAATGCGGAATGGTCTCTTGTTGTATCACCCATTCCCCAAGCAGAGGCACGTCCGACGTGACAGCGTCATATGTTCCACTCACGGCTCTCTATATTTTTTGCTTTCCTTCCTAGGATACATCTAGGTTCCGTCAATATTACCCTGTTGCGGCAGTGACGAAACACCATGTGGTGTTAGACGATTCAAATCCATCGGACCACTTTACCCCTTAGCGCTGTTGTAGTGGCGACCTGTAGATATTGCCACAACTTAAAAAAAGTTTACCTGTAGTTTAATAGGTACATTACCGCTCATAAACATTTGACTACCTGCACTTTTTCTTAGATGATAAACAATTTATCTTGTAAAATCATTTCTTTGGGTATTGTGCTTTGTATTTCACCGAAAAATACGTGATATACGTGAATGGTCAAATACTTTGAGCAGTAGTGTACATTTGGTAAGTAGTAACAGGCACTAGTGGTCTCCCAATTGCCGCACTACGAGCATACTCATGCCTTGCACATTGCCTTGTGCATTTTCAAGTGTTTCACTCTAGACTTCTATAATACCTCTATTAAATATCTATGTTTTTTAAACTTGAACACCAAAGCCAAAAAAAATTGAAAGCCTTAAGTTTGAGAATCATCTGCTGCCTTTCCACAATAAAACATTTGGTCATGCACTTTAGAATGGTCAGCAGCGAGACATCGACTCTGAACATGGCAACAAGAAATCGATGTTGCTCGAAGAACAGAAGATACTTCTTTAACAACAATATGTTAAAGATCCACACTGCCATCCTTCTGTGCCACATTCTCTATGAAAAAACATCTACAAGGACGGCGTTTTAGCTCTACTTTGAATAATCACAACATTTTGGCTCATTTTTTTCTTTCATTATCCCTTCCATTTTTGTGCAATTGACCTGCATGTCTAATAAGTTTCTTCAAATAATTATCAGAGCTTTCAATAAAAATAATGCAGATTTGGCTCAGATTACTTCATGTTATTGGCTTTTGGTGGTTTCAGACAAGCGTTTTTTTCTTACGCGTAAATGGTCGTTGCCGCATACACACTACATTTTGCGCTTCAAAAATCGGACTATACTTCGACGTGTTCGCTTGAACCGGTTATGATGAGTTCGTATCAACATATATTTTGACGAAGACACATTGCTTTTTGCTTTACTTAGAGAAGACGAAAAAGATGGTGGTGAAGTGATTCTAAGGGATTCAAAAATTACTCACTTGCCCTTATACGAGCTTACAAGGGTGTTAACGCTTGTACGACCGTATGAAACGCTAGTCTGAATCCGCGCCTAAAGTAAAACTTTGTAAATATTGCACAACATGTTGTCAATAGCACATTCAATATTTTTATGTATAGGCTGAGGTATTTATATATATATTGTAAATACATCGTATTTTTTGAATAGCCATGCTTCGGCACAACTGGGTCAGCTCGACCAGTAATACTAAAGCCTCACAGAAAATCAGTGTTATGCAATTCTCTAGTATCCAAATATTATTCCTGAAGACCAATGCTCGTAATAAAAGTTGGGCCAAAATTCAGTTTAAATAAACTCTCGATCTCACAACTGTCATAAAAGGTATTTTCGTAGTAAAGTATTAAATATGCAACGTTGACTGTAATGTGAGTATATCGTATTGTAACCGAACATTGAATTGGTAATCTGCTAGTTTTAGTAATACTTTACTATTTAACTACGAAAATACCTTTTATGACAGTTGCGAAATCGAGAGTTGAATTTCGACCAATCTTTTATTACGAGAATTGGCCTTCTGGGTTCTAGAACCCATAATTAGAACCATGCTTAGCTTTAGACAAAGTGTGACACACCATGTGGTTTTAGTGTATTTGTTAACCGCCCGCCCCCTCTTATTACAACCCCAACAGGGGTAACACCCAAATCAAAAGGACTACCTATCAATGATTAAGAATATAATCATTAAGAACTTATTATATCTATTACATGAAACTATAAGTTTACTTACATAGGCATAATAGCAACAATGTGTCCTATGATTTCATGGACATTGGACCATTGGCGCAATAGTTCTGCTGGTGGACTATCATCCCAGTTTACGCCATCAGCTACAAATAAACAAAGGGCATGTTATATTTGTATACATAGGTTCATTATGTTACTGGTAAGAGTTTTTAGTAAGTTACAGACTGTTAGTAAATATTGTGCAATTTTACTAAACTGTGTAATATAATAAGTTGTGAAAGTTTAAGCAACACCGATTTTCATCTATGTTGCTAGACTCTTTAGTAACTTTAAAATCCCTTTGGTAAAAAAAAAAAAGATATAAACAAAGATATTTTTAAAATCAACAATGTAACTTATTACAAAACTTTAATAAGCTAAGTCAACTATTGCACAATGTTTTTAAACAATCACATCCCAAATATATATAATTGTTTATGGGAATTTGTAAGTTTGTTAATTTCTATGAACTTAACTATAAATTGCACAACATTATTAAATCATAATTTACCTTTGAATGTATACACAAGTCGCATCATAACTCTTGGACAATGGTAGGTGTGAGCTGTGACAAGGTCTAAGACAAACTTTTTGTACAAGTTCACAAGGTCCTCACTTCGACTCACCCATTCTATACTACATACAACATCTATATATTTATCTAAGTCCCTACCAAGCAAAACTACACATGATAGACTATCGTCAAAAACAATTCTAAAATTGTCATCATTTAACGGATAATCTCGCAAGACTTTCACCAGTTCTAAATATGGTCCCGAGATGTTTTTATTCACGTAATTTGTAAGAATTTCCTTCACTTGATTTTTAGAAAACCGTAGTTTCATTCGCGCTACTGCTGCCTGACGTTCTAAAGTCTTCTGCATCAAAGATGCTACACTTTTTGGTGTAGCCACTGCCATTTTGATTTTCACTTTTTAAGATCCGAGGATATAGACTTTAGGTACTGAACTATTTCTGGTTGACGTAGTAATTCGGCTTTTTTATGGTTCAGAACCTCTCGTAAAATATTACTACTGTCTTCTAAAGTCGGCAATATTTGCGCCGGCTGTTCGTAGCTTGTACTGGGTTTACTATACCCGATGCTTGTTTCTGAAGTATCGGACGAGCGTTTATCTTTTAAATAGGTTTGCAATCTCTCTAAAACCACTTTGTTGTCACCTTCCTTCTTCTCAGGACTATAACCTTCTTTGGACATCGCTTTGCGTATATTTTACATTGTTATTACTGTTACACTTGCAACAAAATAATTACTGGACTTGCTAGATGAGTAAGGAGAAGTACTAGTTTCACCCTTACAGAAGAAATACGAGCAATTACTTCTGAACTATCTATAACACAACACGTGCAAAACTGCGCGGAACTATCACTTCGTTTCGTATCGTTTTGCTTTTGACAAATGACGTTTTTTATTTTTCTAGCTAGCATGTTGCCAGCCTTTTGCCAACGTAATAGTAGCGTTCATAACAGATAGGATCTGTTCTTATTTACTTTAATAAATATAAAAAGAAAATTTTTGTTCATCAATAAACACTTAATAACATAGAACACACATTGGTCATTCTCAGCCTCATCGTTATTTGATTGAATTCTTCACTAATAATATGAGCTGGCCATATTAGCCGCAGAACCGATAACCGTTGGGGAAAACGAGTTCTTGAGTGGAGACCGCGTCTCGGCAAACGTAGTGTAGGACGCCCACAGGCCAGGTGGAGTGACGATTTGCGCAAGATGGCTGGCAGGAGCTGGATGCGAGAAGCCCAAAATCGATCTAAGTGGCGTGCAATGGGAGAGGCCTATGTCCAGCAGTGGACTGCGATAGGCTGATGATGATGATGATGAATAATTATCAATTCCAGATTAAATATTAGTAAAACTTAATTTAGTAGTATTAAATCTACTGAACTAATCAACGTGTTAAAGTCTATTAAAGATAAATTAAAGAAATGTTATTTATGAAATAATTTATAATTTATGTTTCTTCTTATAGACTCGTTAAAAAAACATTATAAAAACAAATTCGTATGTATTTATATTCCATGACCGGTTTCGCCTTATGGCAGTAAGCGAAACCGGTCAGATTAAGTTTAATTCGTTTCAAAACTTTGTTTTCGAGAGTATGAACAAAATTATACTCGTTAAAAACTTTTAGCGCATCCTTTTAAGCTATGCCATCTAAAATACAATCATTATATAACAAGAATGGCTTGCAATATAATTATTTAATTATAGATACATCTTTTGGGTGTCTAATTACATGATAATATTAACATTAGTGTTTGGTATGATACCTATCATGATAAATAATATTGAGGGGGGCAGGTTAACGATATTTTCAATTTAAAAGTAAGATTAAAACTAGAAGTTAAATTAATAAAGCAAATACCACAAGTCAGTGCACTAGGATTTTTTAAATATAACACAGTATTTTTATGAGAAATATGAAACTAGATGAAATAAGACTGCATTTTACGATTTCATTTTTGTTGTAGCTTCACTAACACATACACTTAATGCAAAACATAATCATGAAAATAATTGTGTATATTTTATTATTTTTACCCTCATTGTTTGTTTTAAAACTAGGTTTATAGAGCCAGATCCTGGGCCTAACATCTCTTAACTTGCCCCAGACCAGCTATCTATATGTTTTCTCAGGACAATAAATTGTCATTAAAGTCATTGAAGTCGTTGTCAAATACTAGTTCACGAAATTAGGGAATGAAATGGAATATTTGTTCACCACAAAGCCATTATCCAAAAGTTGAATTGTTGAATATTTGTTGGTCTTGGCAGTGTTAAACATTTGTCAGTCTAGCTGGAGCAATGTCAATATTATTAATGTTATCCGATTACGATTATTATAATTTACAACAATATGCGTCAAAATATGAAATGCAAGGGTTTTTGACACTAGTTGTTCGTGGAACAGTGAGTTTTTGACAGCAAACTTATTTAGTGCTATCTGTGGTTTTTCATTTCTCAATGAGTTTGGGAGGGGTGGAATGCGTGTGTATTTCTGAGTTCCGGATTATGCTTTAATTTATTATGTATTGTCGTTAAATCGTGCGTACGTTCCGGTGCTGTGAAAGTGTGTATTGAATGAACTTTATAAAATTAGTGTAACATAATCTGTTCAATTTCTTTCTATTCTATGGGCGTTGATAATCATGCAAAATGGCCAACGATTTGTGGTCATGTACCTGTTGTACGGAGGCTTTTACATGTTGGTTGCGTCTGAAGTTATCTCAGGAGGAAATAGAGCAGCGCTACAGAAGCAAAGAGATAGATAGAATACTAGAAAAAGAAAAACAGACGCTAAGACGGCAGGTAAAACTGCTGTTGCTCGGTGCAGGTGAAAGCGGAAAGTCAACATTCCTGAAACAGATGAGGATAATACACAAAGTGAAGTTTGAACCGGAACTAGTGCGGGAGTACCAACATGTGATATATCAGAATATTGTGAAGGGAATACAAGTGTTGGTGGACGCAAGGGATAAGCTTGCAATACCGTGGGAGAATCCGCGAAACTTGGATGTTGGGCAGCAGGCATTACACTTTAACAGTACGGCATCGCTGGACAGCAGGCTGTTTGTGCATTATGCGCCTCATATACACTCTTTGTGGTTAGACAGAGCCATAAAAAGAGCATACGACAGGCGAAGAGAATTTCAATTGGTAAGTTGATGGCAAGTGTTCTTTGTGTGCAACTGGAATCCTAGTCATGGGTTAATTCAATATTGATTTTAATTGAATTAAAACTAGTGGTCTATCGCTTTATCAAACACTTGTAATTGGTTTTAGTATTGTTCATGGCTACAGCTGATTACATTGTTTGTTTTTATCGACAGACAGTATTTTCCTGATTGATAATACGAGTATTTAATCTCTTATGACTGTAGTTGATGATACATATTGGTTCTTTGTACTACTATTTTGAATTTAGAAATAAATTCTTTATGGGTCCTGAATCTAATCAGCATGATTCTGTTAAAGTGTTATATCATCTGGTAATTTTACTTCTATGCTAATAAGAAGGTTGCAATATGCTTGCATTAGCCATTCATTCATAAATATTAAATTAGCTTTTTTTTTTAATGGTTTTGTTCTTGATTCATTGGCCCTCTTTGTTTTATTTATATGCTTTCCTACAAGAGTTTGTATGTATATGTAAGTGACTGTTGTTTGCTACTCTTGATGCTGAAGTTCCTCAACAGATGATGAAATTATAAAATTGCATTATGTTGTACTGCATAAGCAAACTTTATGGGCATTATATGTAGTACATCTATAAAGGTTTGATTTCTAAACCCATTATCTCATACACCTCTGTAGTGTCTCAAATTAGTTGATGAAGCAACATTGTTATTAAAGTCATGACACTTTAATCTCCTACAACTTTGCTAGTCTAAGTAGACTGTTCTGACTGAAAAAAATAGCTGTCAAGATTAATATGTAAACAAGTCCATGAAAGATTCTAAGCATTCCAAATTCATCTGTAGCCAGCTGTTGGCTTGACACTTTGGGAATAATAATTACTTGGCAATAACATTTGCATATGTTGTATATTAATGATTTGACACTTGCATATGTGTGTTGCATACTTGCATTGTTGTATTGCTTAGCCAATGTGTCTTATTCTTTTAAAGTAGTGATGTAATTAGTTGCCATTATAATATGCTATTGATAACATTATAATTTATTGGTAACTTTATATTACAATTATTTTAGTTAGGAGATAAGAGTTTAGTAAAATTTTATGTTTATCTCTTCTTCTATACAAATAAATAAAATTGAAGTGTCTGTTTGTAATCTCAAAATAATAGGTTTTTTCATGCTCACACAGTTATTTGCATGATACCTATGTTTAAAAACCAGTTTAAATATTTTTTGTTCCGGGTAATCTTGGAAACGGCTGGAACGCTTTTGATAATATTATAATACCAGGTTTCTGTCTATATAAGGAGTAACAAATATGAATGATTAAGAGCTTAAGAAACCACCTTCAGTCCTTGAATTAAAGAGTTTACTACCAACTCAAAGACTTAGAGACTTACATTAAAGGCATCTATAATCAGTGGTAGTTACTTACTATTAGGTGATCCATTTGCTTGTATGCCCATAAAAAAAAAAATACTCACACACATTAATTTTTTGTCAACGGGGTGGAAGATCCTCATGGATATCTTTCGCCCATTGAAGCGGGGAAGGTGTGTGTTGGGCTCTTACCAGCAAAAAACTACCCTGGTGTTCATCGGTACCAAGAATCAGAATTGCATTCATCTATGATATGCAGTAAATTCTCTAAAAACAGATGAATTGCTTTCCTTTTAGTTATTGAAAACCACAAATCAGTATCACCTAAGTATTGTTTAAAATATTAAAATTGAATCTCATTAAAGTAAATTCACACCTGTTTTCCCAAAAGGGATGACACAGGCGCATTACTCACACATTTTGCTAACTAAATTTAATTAGTTCCCACTAACTTAGTAGGGCCAAGCCTTCCTAATTAAACACTTTCGCAATACTTCCTAATTAAAAATGGGAATATTGGATACACCCAAAGGATTGAAATGTAAAAGTAGGCAAAATAACTAAAGAATATAAAATTAAATTAACAGCTAAGGTTTTTTACCTTCCTTTTACTTTGTTGATATTCATATAAGTTACTGAAGTCTTATCCAAAGCTTGGTGATATATCCTTTCCTGTTGCAGAAGCCCTCGGATAAGACTAATTCCTTCTTAAGTAATCACTTCCTTTGAAGATAAGCCTGTATTAAACTTTTAAAACTAAAGCTGTGCATATGATTAGAAAACTGAACTTTGCAAAAAGTAGGACTTAAACAATGAGTAAACATTGTAAAAATTATTATACCATCAGGTATTTGCAGTATTTTCCCGCTCTCTATACTTTAAATTTAGAAGAGTAAATGAAAATACTATAACACAGGGTTAAGCAGTTTTTTCTTATCATAGTATTTATGAAATGTTTATGTGAGGCTTACACATAACAATGCTTTTTTGCAATGAAAATGAGCTCACAAAACATTATTAGTATTCAATTTCATTATGAATGTTGGTTGTTTATATAATTTGAAATTTTTAATGTGTTCAGTTTCTTTTTTTTCACTTAACTTTTTACTGTAAATGTACAATTTTATTTATTTGTATAGATTTCTACAATACTCAATGGAGTATTGTAGAAATCTATACAAATAAATAAAATTGGAGTGTCTGTTTGTAATATTAAAACCGCTTTTTACTAAATGCATATGTATGTTTACACGGTACATATGCCAAAATAACATTTTTTACAATTTTTTGTCTGTCTGTCTGTTTGTTCCGGGTAATCTCTGGAACTGCTGGACCGATTTCGACGGGACTTTCACTAGCAGATAGCTGATGACATAAGGAGTAACTTAGGCTACTTTTTTTAGACTAGCTTCGCCCCGCGGCGTTGCCCGCGGTTATAACAACAAACGCGGGTAACACCGCGGGTCTCAGCTAGTCTAAAAATATGATTGTATAATACGTTACAGTATTTACTGTTGTAGTCAAATTATAACACAGCATAACATCACATTTTCTGTAAATTATCTGTTCATTTATTTATGACATATTTATGTTGAAAATAAAATAAGTTGATGTGTTTTTTTAGCAATCATATTATTTTATTAGTTTAAGTGCACTTCAGGCAAAAAAAGTTGAATTTGTCAGTTCTAAAGATAAACATATGATAAAATAAAATATCGACAATTTTCCTCAATGTGGGTTGTGAGATATTATTTAACGAAGAACATAATTTTATGATTCACAATCTCAAAATTCTCTAAATTAGAGTACCATCTAGCATAAATATACAATATAACAGTTACACCCAAAAAGTATTTGAAGTTTTAGGTATTATAAGGACATAAATTAAATAGGTTCATAATGTAATAATACAAAACCAGATGTTGTCTATTATGTAAATATTTGATAATGCAAGTTCCACTCATTTTATTACTTCCACAGATAAAACGTTATTTAAAACCTGTTCCACATGACACATTTGAAAATTCTTGCTTTTGTGAGCTCTTTGTTTTGATACAAACTTTTTATTGTTACCTCTTGATGTCTGAATCACCCTCTTATAATTCTGTAAGGTTGGTATCATTGATGTTAGGATCTGTTCGCACTGTGAATTATGGTGTAGTGCTCATCTGGCAATCAGCAAATTAGTGGCAAAACCAGTTCTTTTTGTTTTTTTTTTTCCAGAAGAATTTGTTATGGAACGGTCTCATGCCCTTAGGTAAATTTTGGACGAGTTTTAAACTCGCCGTCGTAATGCGTGTTGTTGGGTCAAATAAGATTGCGTCCAATTAAGGTTTTCGCTGTGGGCATTTCATAAAACTATCGTGTTCGATAGTAATTGTTTCTTAAAATATAATCTTCACTAAATAAAAACACGACGAGCAAATTTTTTGGTATAGGTTGTAATGTCAGTATTCTAAGGAATTGTCCTAATCTCATTAATAAGTAGGTATAAGTTTTTAATTTTAATTGAAAAGTTAAGAAGTAATAGTTTATTGTGGTGTGGACATGTCAGGATGAGGAACATGTGGCGAGAAAAGTGTTAGGACGACCATAGAAAAGTTGTATGGACTATGTGAGAGATGATATGGCTAGGAAGGAAGTAACCAGTGAAATGACGAATAATCGAGTAGAATGGAAGAATAAAACATACTGCGGCGACCCCAAATACATATACTTGGAATAAGGGTAGGTGATGATGATAAACAATAACAAATCACGTATGTTTTTAGCGGCTTTTTATACGAGTTGATTATCAAAAAGTTAGAGTTGGATCATAAATAACCCTCAATATTTAACTGGTATTATGCAGAAGATTACAGCAATACAAACTTTCTTACTGTCCAGCTGATACTTAACCCGACGATATTTTTGCCAGTCCCGAGAACCGTGTGTTAAAAACTCAAAAACATTAACACCTAAGTGATAAAATAAATGCTTTTGAACAGGTGTTTAGATAGATATGAGGTGCAAGTGAAACCTCTTTTAATTAAAACTGTTGTAAGCCTTATCTCTCAGGTATTCTAATAACCTGGTTCTTGCATAATTTTAATGATTTAATTACTGTGGCCCAAGATCATACTACTATACATAATATCAGTTTCTGGCAGTTTTAATCGTGTTTATGGTCTCTACTTTATGTCGTTATGTTATTTAACCATTATCTGTTCTTCATAAAAAAAGGTTTAAAAGTTTAAAGAGAGTTCAGATTACAGTTTCACAAAATGTTTTACTAGATTCGCAAGAAATACTTTGTGAAGGTCATAGCTCATTAGAGCCTCTCGGCACCCGACCAGCAACGTCTCGCCTCGAGCGGTTAGTATTCTTTGTATGGGGTACTATGTGGTTCGCTCACGAAATCAACCCCGGAGTGCATCGCCCGCGTCTTGAACACGCGCGGACGGCGAGGGGACCACCGAAGACGGATGGAACGCGCTGTCCTCGAACGTGTCTGTCGTATCGTTGTCTGGTTAACAACGCGGCATCCACCCGTGGTCCACCCGTCGACAACGAGTGGACACCAAGTCGAGGTGGTGCTGGTCTCGTGTCTTGTGGGCTTAATAAGCTATGAACTTAAACTCCTGGGTCGCAAATCCCAGGCG